CTTTGGACAACCGAAGTTTAAATACCCTTGCAGATATATATCAGAGCTGAGCTCAATTTGCACATTTTTATTAAATTTTGTCCGATTCCGATTGCAACTAGTAAATTGAAAGTCTGCTCAAACTATATTTGATGTCAGCTGGATGTGTCTAGATTCGGCCCTTTGTTTAATTGTCTGCAAGGGTAACTTATTAGATTAATTGATAAATTGGCGTAAATGTGTAAATAAATATATATATCTATATATTATTTCAACGAAACAATTATTTTAGCGGGATGAAACCGCAAGCGACATCACTAAGATGTTCGAGCCATCAGCACAAGGTGCGGATACATCGGCCAACAACGGAGCAAGTGGAGGAGCTGTCGATGCAACCAACACAGAACAAACCGGGGCTGGTGAGACAAGAGTACGTGAATCTTCAGCAGTCCAAAGTAATTTAGAAATGCCAACGAATACATCAACGCCACCAACAACCGCTTCGACCATGTCGTCCTCCTCTACTACCTCTAGGGATGCGGGCAACAATAGCAATGACGTGACAATTGGCTCTGGTTCGGCGTCGCGCAAAACCAGCACCGCATCAGAGTACACGTCGCTGTCCATTGATTACATGCCGGACAACGCCATCACGCCAACAGGCAATGAGCCATTTCCGCAACTGGAAGGAGGCATGGACAAACCACAATCCGAGCAGAAGGCACGCAGTTTGGCCATAAGCCGAGTGCAAATGTTGTTGGAGTCAACAAGGAGCGAAGCGAAACCGAGAAGCTTGAATTTGCCATTGAATCGTCAGTTGAAGATTGTGGAAGATTTGAAGCACACCAGAAGCTTAGATGACTTAAGCGAGGTGAACATTACGTTCGATATGCCCCCCAGCAAAGCTGCCAAACAGGCCACGGAACTGAGCGCCAATGCCAATGCCGACAAATCCAAAGAGAGCGGCGTTCAACTGGGCTCAGTGCAGCCGCCGGGTGCTGCCAATACGCTGGAACAGCTGAAAATCGAACTCGAGAATATAACACACGCGCATGCATTCGCCTCCGCGGTGGTTGCCTCCATTGGCAACAGACCCAGCACTTATCAAGCCTCGCCGGCAATCGCATCGATGAAAGGGCTCTCCGCTCAGCAGCAGGCCCAGGCAGACACAGTGGTTGGTAGTAAAACAAAAAAAGAAAAAACCTTTGTTAATGTTGTTACACGTAACTCGTAGTCTGCGTTTCCATTTGGTTTATCTTTCCTTTTAATATTATATGTATTATGTAGATTTGCGTATCTATCGTTTTCCGCATAATAATACTGCTTTCTGTTTTTGTTATTAATATTTGTCTTTAAGTCTGGCGTCTCGTTACGTTTACTGCAAACATCACATTGCCAATAATTGTATATAATTATGCATAGAAGGAGTTTTATTAACTAACTTTCGTTGCAGAACTGATTCAAATGCGAATACAAATCCAATCTCATATTCTTATCTTCATCTTAACTTTTATTCTGAAAAGGAAAATGTTCTCAAAATGAAGAGTTTTCAACTAAGTATCTAATATATTGCAAAAAGAAGATTCCAATTAATTTGCACTCTGAAAATTATACTATGTAAAACCCACAATGTTGGGAATATTTTGAGAGAAGTAAATTCCACGATAAATTCCACAAGTAGTTAAATTAAAATCGGTTCTTCTCTTGCATCCAACCGGCTCGAAAATTATCGTATACTTATGTAGACAGTAAGAAAGAGAATCTCAATCCGCACTGGTTTCGGGTATTCGCTTAAACATCATCATTTAATTTGGGCTGGCATTAACAGATATAATTGCGAGCTCATCTTACATGTCCACTGATTTTGCGTATGGTTAAAGTAATATTTGTAGTTGTTGCGTATTGATGTCGTGTTTTTTTATGATTTGTTTACTTATTTACTAACGCTTTTCGTTTTGGCCAGCTTTAACCCGTTCTGTGTTGCGCTTGCGGCCTCTTGGTTTTGGCGTTTATCTTTAATCCATCTCCAATCCTATATATTTCAATGCATAGGTAAACAAATCGAACAGCGTGGGAGGCGGCAGTGGCTCAGCGGCCTCGTTTGGCCAGAATACACCCACCGCAGCGCTGAACTCGGCCCGCGGCTCTTCCGTATACAACTCGCGGCGCACGTCCATTGACAACAGCATGGGCTCCGATATGCAACTGCCCGCACCGAACCTCAATGTCAACGCCGAGGTAGGCGAAAATACGGCCAGCGCTGAGGGTGGCCCCGATAAGAAGCTGACCAAACAGGAAAGTCTGGATAAATTATCAAGCACTTTGAGTGTAACTAGCGAGGCCAGAAATCCAAGCAATGGTGCGCTCAACCAGAGTTCCATAGCAGATCTGGAGAAAAAATTGGCTGCATTACGCAATGCGGACAACACAGAGGAGGTGAAGGCAGATACAATTTACATTTGCGTTTCATTATATATAATATTTAAAATCCGTATTGCAGACGCCAGTGGCAACAACTGTGGCAGCTAGCAAGCCAGCTGACGAGCCTGTGGCCAGTGTCAATGCCCGGAAAATATCCCGCTTCAGCGTGAGTCGCGTGCAGGAGCAAAAGTCTTCCGCAGAGGCAGCAGAAGCGCTGCAACATCAGCTGAAGATCGATCTGCAGGTGGCAGGCTTAGCTGCTGGCCAGGCTCAAAACTATAATGCAAGCGGCTCTGTGCAAAACGGCACCGCCGTCAACACACCCACAGAGCTCATTAGTTCGCCCATACAAAACGTTCCGATGGCCATTAATGGCATTCAATTGATTTATCAGCAGCAAAACGCACCGGCAGGCGTTGGTATGGGCGTGATGGTGCCCCAAAACCAAGTTGGGGGCACGGCACAACCATCAAATCTTCAAATGCAGCAGCAGCAGCAGCAACAACAACAGCAGCAGCAACACATGTACTCAAATATGACACAGCGTCATCAGCCAGCATTAAATTCTCTGCCGCAAATGGTGAACGCTGTACAGCAGCAACAACAAGTTCCTTTGCAGCAATTGCCGCATCAGCAGCAGCAACCACAGCAACAACAACAGCATCAGCAACAGGCACAGCAGCCAAATCAACTCATGGCACAGCAGCAGCCAATTATGCTGCAACAGCAGCAGCAAGCGGCACAACAGTTTACGTTGCCAACATCACAGCCACAGCAGCAGCCGCCGTCACAGCATGCAACACAGCAGTATTTGCAGGCGCAGGCCAATCAAATGCATCAGTTATCGCCTCTAGTGATGGCCATGGGAGTGGGCGTAGGGCAGCCAATGCAACAACATCAGCTGGCGGCTATGCCGGGCGGAATCCCAAATCAAATGTCTGCCTCGCATCAACTGCTGCAACAGCAGCAGCAGCAACAACAACAACAGCAGCAGCAAACCTTGCAACTGCAATCACATCTGCAGCAGCAGCAGCCACAACAAACTGTAACATCCCTTTACAACCAGCAACAGCAGCCAAACTTTCAAGTGTCTGCGGCGGGTCAGCTACTGCAACAGGCGCCGCTGGTAGGCCAGCCACAGCAGACAGCCCAGGGCATGCAGCATGTCCTGCAGCCGCTATTTAATCCAGCTGTTGCTGAAGGTAAATTAGCACTCGTGCCTTTAATTTACTTATTGATCTAAATTATGTATTTCTAATGCAGTCGCAGAGGAGCCCGTGTCACTGGCAGCCACTCATCCTCACCTGTTGCCGAGCGATATTCAATCGGTAAGCAAGTTGATTTGTTGTCCACGCGTTTTAACTAAATGAATGAATTCATTTGCTTTGCAGGACATCAAACATAATCTAGACTCATTGGTTAATCAGTTGTGCAATACACGATTGGGCACCAACCAACATCAGCGACTGCTGCTGCTGCGCCAACGGCAGCTGATTGAAGAGGACGAGCTGCGCCTTAAGCATTATGTGGAATACGAAAAGTTTCAAAAGGCACTGCGCCAATGTAAGCAGTAATTATATAATCGAAGCCAGGCGTGTGCCTAAATTTGTTGTGTTTTCCGTTCTAGCTCTAAGCACAAACGCTCCAGCTACTACCGCGTATTATTCTCCAGCTGCCGCACCGGTTCAACCCAATTTGACAGCACCACCACCAGCAGCAGCAGCAGCACCGCCACCAGCATCGTCAACTACTACACCCGCAGGCTCTTCAAATACATAAATATGAATTCCTTTAGAATTGTCGTAGCCGCCGTTCCTCGTATTCATGACAAGTCATAAACATTGCTACCCAATTGTTCGGCAACTGTTCTGAACTGGCACGATTTCGATTTTGAAAATATGGATCTGGAGTTAGTTATTAAGTGAAAAGTTGTCGAATTATGTGGGGATTGTCTGTAAATATGTAGTCACACAGTTTTGAGTTGATTTGCCATTGTTTCGCTTATTGTTTTACTTTTGTTTTTGATTTTACCCTTTCTTCCCATTCTTTTTATGCAATGCTGTTTCCTCTCATTTGTTTTAAATCAAAATGAAGTTTTGAATTTTATTTAAGCAAATTGTAAATTTGATTAGCGCTAAAGTGTAAATAAATATTTCAATAATATCATATACACTCATACATCAATATACATACTTATTATTATATATATACATACTATATATTTTAAACAATTCAGTGATTTATGTTTTGCGTAGTTACTAAATAAATAAACTTTTATTGAACTTAAAGTCAAAATATTGATGTATTGCTCGCAAAGGCATTCTCATGCCCTTCAGCCGTAAAGTGTATTATATATTATGTTTTTTATGCTTATTTGCTTAAATATTCGAAGATCAGTCAGTCACTAACCTTCAAAACGAGCGACGCGGGCAATATCTTTACATTTACATATGGCCAGGACTAAAGAAAATAAATTTAAATAACTTTTGTTACTCATTTGATTGATGTCGCTGGATGCTTGTAAGTTTCTTTTGAAGGCCTTGCCTTTGACAATTATCAATAAAAGCATAACATTCATTTCGTTTCTTCATATATACATATGGAAATTATTTATTTGTAAATATTATAATGCAAACTTAAACAGTTTTATTTTAAAGGGAAATTGATAAACACAATTGTACGATGAAAACAATATTAATGGAAGAAAAAATAACAAATTTAAAAGGAATGACATTATATTTCCCTTTTATGCCACGACATCCATGGTGTCTTTGATTTCGTTACCCCACTCACGGGCCATGATCATAATTTCGTTCATGGATAGTTTGGGGCCAATCAATGGGTTCATTTGCGTCAAGTAACAGCACAGCCAACTGCATAAAAAAGACGATAAGAATTAATGGGATTCTCATAAGGTACTGTATATAGATGTGTACATATGTAGCTACATGTCTCATGGTCAAAAAGAAGAAACTTACAAGAGCCAACAGGTAACAGCAGTGAGCATAATACAGCATTGAGTCACGCTAAATAGAAATAAGAATGTAATATTTATATTTGTGTTAAATAACTTTAAATGAACTTACCCCCTGTTAGGGCCACGAGCAAGGAAAGGGCCTATGATGCCAATAACTGCCCAAATGACGGTAATAATAAGAGGGGGAACGTAAGCTTCAACCATTTTTAAGCACTTTTTATAACTTAAGAGTAATACTGCAGGTCTGCCGTAATCAGCAGGTTTGTTGGTTGAACAGAAAACACAAAATTATTAAAAAGTGATCACGAAGAAGGCACTTTTTCGAGCTGTATGAATATCACATGACAGCCATGGGACAGAAACATATGCTACTAGGGCTGCCAAACCTTAACTTGCTGAACCTGGTTCATTTTTGAAATGAACCTCTCGCCATCGCGCCCCTGTTGACAGAAAAGCATCGCAAAATTCAAAATCAATTTCAATTAAGTTTGTGTAACTTTGCTAGTACATTATTTAAAAATGTTTTCTCATTTGCATTTGGCAATGAAAACTGAAAACACAAAATAAATTCAAAGTCGTATTCGATAGGTGCTAGTGTACCAGAAATGAAATAACGTAGGTGACACATCTTTTTTAATATCGACATATCGACAACTCGATTTATCTAAAGAAACATAACAGCCCTGTGCAGGCAGCTAGGAATTACAGTTCAGTGGCAAAGTGACAAGCAAAAATACAAAATGGTCCTGGAAAGTACTATGATATGGTAAATAAATGATTTAAACCATTAAATGATTATGCTAATTACATTTCCAAATCTTTTCTTTTGCAGTTTTGATAACAGTGATTACCAGCGCAATGGTGACTACTTTCCCACCCGTTTAAATGTACAAAAAGATGGTATCAACCTTGTCTGCCTCACCAAGCTGAGATCCAACCCAGAAAATAATGTTGGTCTAATGACCCTATCGAAGTACGCTTGTAGTGCTAGTAACCAATGCTGTATATTGCAATTAACCTTTTCATTTCTTTCAGCACCGTCGAAGTGCTGGCTACACTGACCAGCGATGTGGGTCGCATATTCTCAAAGATGCATTTGATTCAGCCAAAGGGCGAAATAAACCTTCTAACCGGAATTCGTATTGCCCATTTGGTGTTAAAGCATCGTCAAGGTAAAAATCATAAAATGCGCATAGTTGTCTTTGTAGGCTCACCGATAAACAACGAAGAAGGGGAGCTTGTTAAGCAGGCCAAGCGTCTAAAGAAGGAGAAAGTTAACGTAGACATTGTAAGCTTTGGCGATCACGGAAACAATATTGAAACCTTGACAGCTTTTATAAACGCTCTGAACGGCAAGGATGGCACCGGCTCCCATTTAGTTAGTGTTCCCAGAGGCTCGGCTCTGTCAGATGCCTTATTGTCGTCGCCCATAATACAGGGCGAGGATGGTATGGGTGCAGCTGGGCTGGGTGGCGCCGTATTCGAATTTGGTGTTGATCCCAATGAGGATCCGGAACTGGCTCTTGCCTTGCGCGTATCAATGGAGGAGCAGCGCCAACGCCAAGAGAGCGAGCAGCGTCGTGACAATGCTGGAGGTGCTGAAACTGTAGCTCCCCCGATAGCAACTAGCGGAGAGAGTGGCACAGGTGGGCCAGCCGTAACTCTTCCCAATTCCAACTCGGAGGAGGCGATGCTGCAGCGTGCACTAGCTTTGTCGACCGAAAATCCAGAGGATAATTTACCAGATTTCGCCAATATGACCGAAGAGGAGCAAATCGCGTTTGCCATGCAAATGTCCATGCAGGATGCTGCTGATGATAGCGTTACCCAACAAGCCAAACGTCCCAAAACTGATGATGCCTCTGCCCCAATGGATGTCGATGAGGACTACTCGGAGGTTATTGGTGATCCGGCATTTTTGCAGAGCGTTCTTGAAAATCTGCCTGGTGTAGATCCACAATCGGACGCAGTGCGCGACGCTGTTGGTTCCCTCAATAAGGACAAGGACAAGAAAAACGATGGCAAGGATGAACAAAAGAAGTGAACTCCTATCTCCACGTTATAAATATATATTTAAATTTGCATTAAACAGAAATCATAAGTGAGCTAACATCTCTAATACTATGTGCAGATTATGTTCATGCTTCTAATAAAACAAACATACATATATTATCACAGGGAAAGTCCTTGTTGATCCTGGTCCTCCTAGTTAAGCATATCTCTAGACAGAAGAGCTACAATTCATTGCCCTATAATTGCTCCCCGGCAGTCATTAAAATCCAATACATAATATACTGTTAATATTTATTTAGCGCTTTGTGTAGTTAAGTTAAATTTATTATGGTAACTTTGAATCTACATTTATAAGCAACATGGTATTTATGGTTTTAAAGTTATCCAGATGTGCCTCTCTTACTTTCCACCCTTGTAGTCGCGGATGTGGTAGAGAACCCAAGCCGGGATGAACAAGGACGCAGCGCACATGCCACCGCCAAGAATCACTTTCTCCTGGAAAAGATGAAATGTGCATGTTAAGGAAATCAAATAAATTGTAAGGGTTTGCCATAGATTGGGTTTACGTAACCCTCAAGAATCTCAAAATTACTCACCGCTGTGGAGATGTGTTTCGTTGGTGGCCCGGAGACGACGGATTGGCATCGCCTTTGCATAGCTCCACGCATCGCAGGCACCAAAAGTTTAGCAGCACTATTTTGGAACATTTTTAAAAGCACAATTTTCGTTTTTAGAAATCAATGCTGGTAATAAGTGCTCGCCTGAGATGACAAAAACACATCGATAACAATTCTGTGTTAGTGATGTTCAAAAATCGATAATTTTTTGGGTGCCCATCCTACCAGTAAGTAAAATACCAAATTTTTCAAATTTTAATCATGAACGCATTTAAATTTGAACAATTTTTTAATAAAAACTGTTTATACAATTAAGATCAGAACGGAAACATAAAGCCCTTAAAACCCTTTTTATCGATTCAGCAGTTTATTGTTATTGAACTGAATGTTACAAATACTACTTAGAGTACAACTTCAATAAAATGTAACGGTAAAAATAAAGTATAATGAATAAAATATGTGACATAGTTTGACTATTTAATAGATATTGATATAAAGTGTAACATTCACTATTTAAAAAAAAGTGTTTAGAACGGTTTGTGAACGCTTCCTTTTATTGATAGTTCTTATACATTTGGAATAAATAAGATCAATTAATTGGGACAAACGTCGTCCGAAAGATAACAGTAGGTCATTTTTGTTTTGACGTCACATTCAAAATATACACATTTAATTCATTTAAATGTTTAAATGACCGCAAGATTTTTCTTTCTTTTTTGTAGATTTTGTTTCTTATTATAAACTATAATACATAGCTTGTAGTAAAATATTTGATTACAATATACTCTTTCACACTAGTACAATTGGACATAAGAATGATCTTGCATCATTATTTAGTTTTCTTTTCTTGAATTTACTAAGAATTATTTAAATAGTTAAGGCTTAATGCATTCGAGCCAGTTATTTGTTACGTTTTATTAATACACATGTGGCTCACATCAGATCTACCTATTCGCATACATACATATGTATATAGATATACATTGGCAATACTAGAAAACATCGACACTATTATAAGGCTGAAGCAGTAAGCGCATCAATTTTCGATTTACAGCTAAGTCCAATGCTCGGAGCTGGCGTTATTCCCGTGCTAAAGGATCTATTATCAAGTCTTGTCTGGATTCGCAGTTTGAAGGATGAAAAACATGTAAGTAGCTCTGACGGTTTTCAAAGCTTTGTTAAACATAATTAAATAAATATAACTTTATTACGAGACTTCTACATAATGTTAGAATGTAATGTTATGCGGAATGATAAATAATCAAGTAAACAAGAATTGATTAATTTAAGCTTTGGATAATATAAACTTAATAATTCGTTTAGTTTAATTTATTTAAATTGGTTGTTTTCTATGAAATTTGTTGGTATAACAGGTAATAACATAACATAAAATATCTAAGTATGTATCTATAATTTGCAAAGAGCATTACAATCAAATAAATTAAAATAGTATATGTATATGTGTTGAGTACAAAGAATGTATGCTGCATTTTTGTGTTTCAATTATATGTTAATATCTAATTAGGTAATAAGTAGTTTCGTAACAATACAAACAATAGAATCCGGTAGACAAAAACAATTTTATGTTTAATTATATGTATACATATGTATGTGCATGAGCATCTGAATATTTCTGTGTGCGCATCTCTTATTTTTAAGTAATCTTTAAAGGACAGTAAGTGGAAAACATCATAAAAAATTTGCTTATTTTTTATGTTTACAATTCAGTCTGAAAGGCATAGTTGTGTATACACATTTTTATATCACCTATTTTGAATAATTAACTGTTTAATGTATCCTGCTTTTTGTTTATTTTAAAATATTATTTTTAAATGATAAGTGTTTTACAATATTAATTTCTTAAATTTAGTTTTAACCGCATCTTTTGGTTTTTTCTTTACAATTTAGTTTTTTGCAATTGCGGAAAATGTTCTGTTGATTTCGTTGCGTTAAGTTGGGCAAAAAATATATATATTTATTTCCGTATGTAAACAAAAATTTGGTACTTAATTGATCTCTTACTTTTAATTACACATTTGATTTTCTCATGCAGTAATATATATATATATATATATATCAGCATTGTAAGGTTTATGTTATTTTTGCTTTTCTTGATTCTAACTTTTAGTTATGCATATGTTACTTATAGTTGCTCCGATATTATTGTTCTTGGCGCGAAAATCTTATTCTTCATCCGTGAAATCGGAGCTTTCGCTAATATCACTTGAAAACATTTCCAGCCAGTGATAATCGCGCCGATCGACGTATTCCCAAAGATAAATCTACGGAAAATATCAACTTTAGCATTAAACACATCTAATAGAGTGCGCGGTGCACAAAGGATTAACTCTCTCGACAACATTACAAAATAGGGTGAATTTTTAAATCTAAATGATTAATAATTACATTATTAAAGTGCAAAATAGCCAAGATCTCAGTGGAATAACAGAATGATTTGCAGACAGTTAAATAAGAAATTACTTACATCAAGTAAATCAATAATCTGATTCTGGCTATGCAATTTTCGAGCTCGTTTTGGCAAACCAACATCCACAATCTCGCCGTTGGGTAGGGCGTGTTTGTAAAAGCACTTGTTGCCAAATGGACACTTTCCTTCGCCTTTTTTGAAATATTTGCAATCCTTGGCACCGAGGGCTGCACGATAATCATTTAGCAGCTTATCCTTCTCCTCTTTAGTTTCAACCCAAAAGGCGCTGGGGCAGACAAAGTCGGAACACACGCGACATTCAGGACAAGCTCTGCAGAAATTAAGAGAATTAATAAGTTGGATGGCTTAAAAATATTAGAAGGTATGTTGTGCTCGAAAGTATGCTATGCAAAATTGTAGTTAAAAGAACGAGGTCTTTTGCAAAGGACCAAATGATCTTGTTTTATGTAGCCATGTCAATAGACATGTGTGAATTATTGTCATCCTAAGCTATTTATTATTACTCACCGCGTAATTTTATGTTCAAACTGTTTGGCCTGACGCCATGTACGGATGCATTCCAAGCAAAATATATGATTGCAGTTGGGCAAAATGCCAAATCGCTTCTCTCGTCCGGCTTTCTCCATGATGGTGTCGAAGCATATGCCGCACGTCTTATCTTTGGACTGGGCAATCGCAAAGGATAACTCCATTGCCTGTTCATGCTGTTGCAAACACTCGCGATTGTGTTTCTTACGCTGAGCTTGGTCCGTTGGATGCAGGCAGTATTGGTCGCACATCTCGCATAGCTCCAGGTGTATGCGATAGGGACAATACTCGCCATAGGGGCAGGGACTTTCGTATGGACAAACCTGATCCAAGGAATTTGGCTCACCATGTTTAATTACAACGTCAATGTCATGTGTGGACGGACCACCGACAATCTCCGCCCATGAGATTCCACTCTGCACAACGGCGCTGCTAGTAGCCGCAGCCTCATCCTCATCCTCGTCCCCCTCGTTCAGGCATTGGGCTGTAAAGCTCTTCTGGCCGGGCACAAATATCGGCGCATTTGCCCAATTGCGACGACTCGTGCTGGGCAATACATCAGCATCAGCATCCGCATCTGCGTCGGCATCGTTTGTTGTATTTGTGTTGGTATTTGTGATTGGGGCACGCTGCTCACCTTCGGGTCGGCCTCGAGTTAAGTCATGGGAGAAGCGACAGAGGTCACCGAATCGACAAATGCCTCGCAAATAATATCGGCATATTGTTTGGCTTCGTCCAGGCACAACATTTAATATGGGAACTTCTGCGACGCTGGCGGAACTCATTTTGCACATGCAAGAGTTTGTACAGATGATCTGACCAAACTAGACGTTCTGACCTGAAACGTTTGCAAATGTGATTATATCCTCGATAAACTCGACTTATCGATATACACATATATATATATATATATGTGTGTGTATGTACATATATATATATGTATATAAATATGCAAATGTGCATGCATGCAAGTGTGTAGAGCAAACAAAATTAAGATGTCGCAATAACTCCTTTTTTTGCGTATTACAACACTGTGTATACAATATACGTATGAAGACACACACAGGTAATTTTATAAATAATCGGAATTAAAAGCATATGTAAACGTTTATTTATTATTTTTTTGATATATATATAAATATGTATATAGATGAGTATATATACATATGTATCTACTTAAGAATATGAATGCACATGAACCTTTCTGTTCTACTTCGGGAACAAGCACGCCTACACTTTGGCTGCCTTGCGTAGGAAGCGTTATGGCTATTATTGTAACTGTTATTGTGTGGAGCTAAAAGGAACACTTGATTTTCTTACGTTTTTATTTTTTTGTTGCAAATTGATGCTCACAAAATTTCAACTAAGGATGGGCTAAAATTAATGGTATATCGACCAATCTGATAAATTAAATTCGATTTTTTTTTCCGATTGCTAGGCGTTTGACAATTTTTTAAAAGTATGTCTGACATCTAAAAGTATTCCATATAAAATGCTTTTAATGTGTAATTTTCTTTTATCACAATACAAATATTTTTTTTTTTAGTCTACAGTTTCGTAAACTAAGCTATTGGGCTCGAATTAATTTGTATCGATGTCAACGAATTTGCTCAACTTTCCGAATCAGCTGATTGCTCCGATATTTGTTTTGCTAAAATGTTTTAGGAAAATCAAATTATAAAAATTATTTATTAAAACAATATGACTAGTGACAATGAAAAAAAATACGTTTGCGTCAGCTGCGGGAACCCGGCACGAGAATTGATCAAAAAATACAGTAATACTGTTAAGCCTGCTCACTGTGTAAGTACATACAACAGTAAATTTCATATTTATATTTATGCTGCTGCTAATATTTCAACAGGACAAATGTAATCAGATAACAGATAAATATATAGAGGTTGAAGAATTCATAATCCTAATAGATGCACTTCTTTTGGTTTCCGCTGCGTTCCGACACATGATATGTAATGGAGACTTTAAGGTCTAGTCTCCGGTTCGTTAATACTGAATATTAAATACTAATATTGCATTTTGGTTTCAGCTATATTGGAAGATTTCACTTGTTGTCCTGCTCTTGGAATCGTTTGCTTTGTGTAGACAAAACACAGGAGATGGATTAAATACTGCACTATATGAAAAAGGCTTTTACATGTGCACGCTTCAAAACATTGCAGGTAATATAGCATACAAACATTATTATTTCTATTGTTGCATACATCGAACTTTTCTTTTTCAGAATATCTTTTGATTACGCTACTCTTGATTTTAATTACCGCAATTTTTAATATGCGTCGGCTGCTCAAAGTCGGTCTGCGGACGGTAACATTAATTATTCTAAAAGTGGTGGCCATTTCTAATTTCTCAAAGTTCTTTCTCTTGCCTATATTGGTCTGGAGAAGTAACACGACCGATTTTGGACGTAACCTGCACTATATGTTAGTCACTGGGCATCACCTTTGCTCCTTAATAATGGCTTACAGCGTAGTCGGTATTAGCAACAGTCGTCTCCGCTGGTTTACCATAATATTGGTAATTTGTGCATTTGCTATTAAGGAGTACGTTAGGTATTTAGCAGCATATAAGATGGAGTTGCATATATCTTAATAATAATGCTATTAATTTTAAAAACAAAAATATAGTCGTATTTATGATCCAATATATACTAACAGTTAGGCATTTAAATAAGGGATCAAATGGATCAAAAATATGACAAGTATATTTGGTATTAAGTCAGACTGGTCTCTCTTAGATTGTTTTATCGATATACAGCCCTGGTATTTGCACTTATCGGCCGAGCTCTGTCAATGTCGCATGCAGAATTAATGAGAATTCTTAAAATGCTTATTTTGCTTATTTCTATTATGCAAAATTGAAATTAACTCTGGCGAAAGCATTACTATTATCATAACATGAATAATTTCAATTTGGTAACAAATATCGCGGAGTAAATCAATATCTACGCGTATTATTAAGCACGTAATGTGTGCTCCGATGGTTTAAAAAGCAATCAAACGTGTTATTTAATAATGTAAGACGCAACACAACAAGTGAGTGCGGGTATTACAAGCAACTGTAAAATAAAAACTATAAACCAGGAAAAACTAATGCTGGCCTAATAAAAGGAAAATTGGTAAGTCTATAGAGCAAATAAAATGACCCACATACATACATGCATAAAAATATATGTACATGAATATTATGCATGTATTGACATACACATACGAAGTGATTGCATTCTTGCCGCTCCACAATTATTTGTTAACTTCTGGACACAACCAATTTGTTTTAAAATTTTTAAAAATTCTATCCTTGACATATGTATGTAACTTCATTTGTACAAATAGGCCCATAACATAATAAACGTTGATTTTTAATTGCATTATAAACGAATATGACAGCTCATTCGTGTTACCAATGTGACCGGCTACATGTAGTATTTTTTAAAATATGTATAAAATGTATTTTGTTAAAATTTATACATTAAAGCATTTGCAATGGTAAAATGTGTTACAATATGATTTTAAATTTATATATTTACAAATTGTGAAGAGTAGTGCGAAATTTTCAATTTAAAGTTTTAAAGAGTATGCGTTTTGTTTAAAATGTGCAAGCATTTTGTGCGTAACTATGCCTGGTCACACATAACATATAACCTAAAAAATGACAAGTGACAAATTTCTTTTTTGTTCATTTTAAGCGACTTAAACATAATCAACGGCAATATAAACCATTCTCTGGAGTTTCTCCTATTGTAGTACTTGTATTGGCTTACGCTCTTACGTTTAATAATGGATTTGCCTTAAAGTGGATCTGACGTTTCCGTTTTCACATATGCAACGATGTAAATAATATAAGCAAAAAGTGAAAATTACAAACCAACAGACCGACCGCATTGGTGCACACATATGTACAATATTGTACATACATTTATTATAACTCCGCAAGGCAAAGATCACGTAGAGTGTCAAATCAAATGTCAGCTGCTACATCGGTTGTGTTTGTGAGTTTTGCTGTAAATCTCTGCACAAAGTGCTCAAAACCGCGAAGGACGGAGCACAACATAAACGAATTAATCGTTGAATAAACAGGAAATTTGACTGGGACCGGGAATTTGACTACTGCGAGAGTTGAGTACAGATCGGCTTATATATAAGCTAGTGCGAAAAGATGCATTCCTCATCGGCGGCGTCAAGCGCACTTGTGGAATACTCCGACGTAAGTTCGGAGGATTTCTCGGATCCCGAAGCAGGAGAAATTGATTCGGATGTGGCGTTAACTGGCAGAGCTCCAATATTAACAGCTCCAATTAGAAAACCAGAAAGTCAAGGAAGAATGCAAAATTCGGATGGGGTTTTGCGCGTTACAAAGAGCAATGACTACAGGTAATTATCTATAAAAAGAAAATGCTTAAACAATATTTTATATATTGAGTTTTGTAGGAAAAGACACACTGAAGAGGACGACATGACGTCGATTCTTGCAGTTGGATCGAGATCAAGGCAAGTTTCAGTTGTTGCCAGCAGCGGCAGTAGGCTTAGCATAGCCTCTGTCAATGAGAAACTAAATCATCATCGTGCCGAAGTCACACTGACGCCAGTCAAGAGTTCAAAGGAGGAGCACCTGCAGTGGGACCGTGAGTTGTACATGTCTAGCGATACCATCGATACCGATGAGCTGGAAGCGGAAATGAAACGGCAGAAACGCAAAAAGCTGAAGAAGGATAAGCACAAGCATAAGTCAAAAAAGAAATCCAAGAAGCGCAAGAAGAAGCGAGCGAAGTCATACTCTAGCATTGACTCCTTATCGGACAGCAACCTCAATAATTTGCTGGACAGGCACAGTCGGTATACGCCGCCAACGGCACCAAACCGAGCCAAGAGCGCCGAGCGCACAGTCAGCGCTGCGCTGCCTTCATACACGCCTCACAAAGACAGTCAAAGCAGTCCCATATCAGTGGGCACTCCGCCCGCCCGACGTCCCAATAGCAACAACACCTATTACGGCGAAGCAGCTGTTGCTACACCAGGCACTCCCCTAGGCAGCAGCCTACAGGTAACAGTAACGAACAAAACGACTTCAAACAGTCGACATCGTTCGCCACCGGCACGCGTCGGCGTTGGTGGCAGCAGCCAGCGATATGCCACCTCTCCACGCACTCCTCCACAGTCGCTTAATCACTCACACGCAGTCACTGGTGGCGCTGGTGTTGGTGCTCGAGACTCTCGTAGCTCTCGGTATGTGCAGAGCCCCCTGAAGGATGATTTGAATGCTCACCACCGCTCTGGAAATACGTATGCAGGGCGCTATTCAGGGGGTGGATCCATAGGTGGGCAGGGCAGTAGTCTCGATGCGCGAAAACTAAAGCGCATGTCACCAGGTAAGTGCAGATACTGACTGATGACCTAAACAATATTTAGTTGAATAATTTTTGGACAATTTTTGAGCAAATAAAATGGGAAAAATTAGATCAAAAAAGAAACGAACATCGTGATGAGAGACATAGTTTCTGTTCACAAACTCTTTGGAGAATTTTTGACCTTACATATGCATATGTCTATAAACATGAATTTTTTGAAACAGCTCCTAGTCCGTCCGTCTGCCAGCAGGAAATAGAAACATGATGAAATATTCTGTGGCAAAAACTGCTACCGACTAATTTTTAATAAAAATTAATTTGATTGTTAAGGATCTTAACTTTAAGATTTATATTTTTCAGAGTTGGACCGCTATCATCACCAACCAAGCACACCGCCGCATAAGCGACGAAAGTATAGCGATGGACGAGATGCATCCTTGTCATCGTCAGTGGGTCCATATGAGCACGGCAGGCACCATGCTGTTAAATATGAACGCTACAGCAGAGATCGCTATTCAAGGCGGGTGTCCCGGTAAGGATTTTTTATTCTCTGAAATTGAGAGCATATAGTGACTGTTTACCTATTTAAACAGGAGTCCTAGCGTGCACCGCCTATCGCGCAGTCGCCTGTCTCCGGGCGGAGGAGGGACCACTTCAGGCAACAGTAATATGTACCGACAAAGAAGCAACAGTAGACATAAACACAACAAATATAGCGCACCCCATTCGCCTTCCCCACCGCTGCCAACGAGGTCGTCTTCCAAGCGAGGTTCTGGCAGTGGCATGGGCATCGCCGTTGACCGCTACTCATCGCGTTCACCACGGCCAAGTTCACGCTACTATGAGGCATCGCCGCCATCACCGACGGCCGCTTCAGCGTCGACCTCGCATCATCATCGCCGATCGCCAAGGTCCCATCAGCATCATCGCAACAGCAGCCGAAAACGCTCCCCCAGCTCAGGCAGCAGTCGTAGCTCCCGGTCGCCAACGTCGCGTGATCTAAAGCATAAGCGCGATGAATATATCAAGAAGATAAGCGAGACTAGCTTATTTGCCGAGTTGGTAAAGGATCGCCATAAACGGCAAAAGGCGTTGAAGGAGATAATCGAGCGACAGGAGGAGAACAGCAACAGCAACGGCGCCTTGACTGTCAACGAAAACAGTTCCTCGGTGGATGGAAATACGCCCAACGTTGCCGACAATCGACCAGCATCGTATATGGCATCACAATCGTCCGCTGGTGAAACGCCAAACGGAATTGTTAGCGGCGGTAAGCCAGATTTGGACGTCAACAACATTCCCATGCCAAACAGAGAAAATGATGCACTACAGCTAAATCCGACTGCTGTTGTTAGTGCAGATGTTACTGATGCCTCTCCAAAGGCAGTGGCCATGCCCATTAAAATGAACGCCAATCAAAAACCGAAGAGTCTTACGGCCCTGCCGATGCCACCGGGCATGAGTGCAGCCGATTTAGAAAATGCACCTACGCCATCGCCTCCAGATTTAAGCAAGCAAACAACACCGAAATCAATTAAGAAACTGTCGCCCGATGATAGAAATCTGAATGCCAATGTCAATAAGAGCCTTTTGAATCTGCCAATGCCGCCCGTTATACCGGGCAGTGAGGAGTTGAGCGGTGACGATGATGTCATCGACAGTCCCGAGGACTTTGATACGCCCAGTGGCAACAGCAACAGCATGAATACGAGTTCTAATTCAAATGCAACACAAGCTGCAACGCGTCGACGTCCAGTGATACTCAATCGACGCGACTCACGGAACAATGTGCGGGATTGGGGCGAACGATGTGTGGATGTATTCGAGGTGATTGCACAGATTGGCGAGGGTACATATGGACAGGTAATAAGATGAGAATATCTTACGTTTCTTAACTGACGGATTGCTAATATATGCGTTTATTTCATCAATTGCAGGTGTATAAAGCGCGAGATCATCATACCAACGATATGGTAGCATTAAAGAAGGTGCGTTTGGAGCACGAAAAGGAAGGTTTTCCCATTACGGCTGTGCGCGAAATCAAAATATTAAGACAACTCAATCATCGCAATATTGTGAACCTACATGAAATAGTGACGGATAAGCAGGATGCAGTTGAGTTTCGCAAGGACAAGGGATCCTTCTATCTGGTGTTTGAGTACATGGATCACGATCTCATGGGTCTTCTAGAGTCTAACATGGTTGACTTTAACGAGGAAAACAATGCGTGCATTATGAAACAGCTATTGGATGGCCTCAATTACTGTCACAAAAAGAATTTTCTTCATCGGGATATAAAATGTTCCAACATTTTGATGAATAACAAGTATGCTTAAAGCGACATACCTTGAATTCATTTAATTCCTTTATTTAATTATTATTATTTGTGTTTTCAGGGGAAAAGTTAAATTGGCAGACTTTGGCTTGGCCCGATTGTACAACGCCGAGGACCGTGAGCGTCCTTATACGAACAAAGTCATAACGCTTTGGTATCGCCCGCCGGAACTGCTGCTTGGCGAGGAGCGTTACGGGCCGTCCATAGACGTGTGGTCTTGTGGCTGCATCTTGGGCGAATTGTTCCTGAAGCGCCCGCTATTTCAGGCAAATGCAGAGATGGCGCAACTGGAAACTATATCCAAAATATGTGGTTCCCCGATTCCCGCCGTTTGGCCCAACGTAATTAAGTTGCCGCTTTTTCACACGCTTAAGCAGAAGAAAACGCATCGTCGACGTTTGCGTGAAGATTTTGAATTTATGCCAACATCAGCACTTGATCTGCTCGATAAAATGCTTGACCTAGATCCAGACAAACGCATTACGGCAGAAGATGCCCTCAGATCGCCTTGGCTAAAGAACATCAATCCAGATGAGTGAGTTCAACCGATAAACTCTCTTCCTAATCTTGAAAGCAAATCAAAAACATTTGTTTTTTTCATATTTAACAGAATGCCAATACCACAATTGCCTACATGGCAGGATTGTCATGAGCTTTGGAGCAAGAAACGGCGTCGCCAGCTGCGCGAACAACAAGAATCGCTGCCACCAGGTGTAATTTGCTCAGCTAAGTATCAACAACACGGAGCCACGATGGTGGGGGATGCCTAGCATTTACTCTATGCTTCATATTTTAATGAAGAGGAAGACTATAAACAGCGAGAAGTGGAGTGTGCCTGGTGGCAAAGTTAATACCTAAGTTTGTAACTAATTATATAAATAGTTGGCAGGCAGAATCAGTTCGGGTTGACATGCTGCTCTACCAAAGCACTCTATTCTTTAAGTCATCTCTTAAACAAAGTAACTAAACTAAGATAACATTTAAATAGTGATGAATTGCTACAAAATGAGCATTTCGAATTGACCGGTGTATAATATTGTAATATGTATATACTAATTACTGCTATATATTCAAACAAATAACCTATTGGAACGTCATTTGTTTATAATTTTTTTTATTCTCTAGACTAATAACTTACATACATATTGGCAATAAAAAAAGAGCACGAGAAATAATATAATTAATCAATTCGTATCGAGTTTTGTTCACATCAACTTTTATTCTGTTACAAAATTTGACTATTTAATGCTTTTAGCTATGACGTTAGATTTTACTTTACAACAAATTGGAAAAGAACGCTAAGATTCAAAATAAAAGCGAGGTTTGAAGCAGTTAAAGGTTAGCATTTTACTATTAAATAAATTGTTATATATATACTAACACATATATATATGCAAAATGATAATAAACATGCATAGAATATACATACATAATAACGTTAAAAATAAGTTAGTAGTAATAGTATTATTATTAGCTTAGCAACATACTCATGTTGTCCGTAAAAAGCTATAAATGATTATTTTGTTAGGTATATTTAAATAAAATTGTAAAGTTAATGATGAATTTATCAAGTAAATGTGTACTAAAAAAAAAAACACCCATACAAATATTTTAAAAAGCTTATATTTTTTAAAAACATAAATCAAGCCGGATAAGAATAAATGTGTATAAAAAGTACTATATAATAAAAAAAAACACAAATCTGTGCGAGACTGAAAATACTTGAACACAAAATTGTGCAATTTGAATAATTAAAGTTGTAAAATCATAAATGATGATGATGAATTTCAAAAAAGAAGCACACTAATCTCCGAAAGCGTAAATCAAATGGATCTATTTGGTTTCCAATACATATTTAAATAAGAATGTATCGATCTGCAAATCCGTTTACACGACATAAATATACATGAAATGCATTATTAACACACATGTACGAAATCATATACCATATTTCGGTTTATTTTGAAGAAATGCAATAATCGAACGTAGACAAAGCAATGCTGTGGATTAACGAGTGCCGTATAATCAATGCTACAGTTCTGTAATTAAATGGTAAATGGGTTTGAATAAAGTTGCCTAATGTTTAACGACTCAGCCGGTTTTGTTATAATCGTTTACAAAAAAAAAAAAACAGAGAACTGACAAGAATTATATATATTTTTGAGATGTACATGTAGAAAACCACCTGTTGGTGTGGTCCAGCGCACGATTATCTCGGGATTGATATAAGAAACAAATATATGCGAAATAACAATAAACAAATGTCTTTAGGGTTTGCCAAAGATACGGTGTGTGTGTCTATAGTTCTGAAAATTATTTCCAAATTACAAGTTACTTAATTTTAACGTCGTGTATTCTGTCAATTTCTTATTGACTTGCTGATTATTACGCTCATTCAAAGAAAACCACTCGAAACCGTAAGCTGTTCCTAGCATATATATTTATTTTTAATCCGTATTCCTTGTTTACTCCGATTTGATGCTAACGATAGAAAATGATCCAAATATCGATAACTGCGATAACGATGAAGCAGTATGCTTAGTGCGCTTAGGGGCGCTTGGACTAATTTAACATAGTTTTAGTGTTTTCCAACACTAGCAAGTTGGCGTTCTTCTTTTTAAATGATTTTCGGCTTGTTATTGTTTATATATGAAAATAAGAAAGCAAAGTGCAAGTAAAACAAAGTAAACTATGCTACCATTCCGGAATTATGGAGAAACAATCGATGTAAATATGAATATGAATATAAATATGAATAATACCGTAATTTATACAAATTTATATTTCCTTAGGAGTACGAAGTACAGCACCTGCTGGGTAAAGGAGGCTTCGCTTGTGTTTACAAAGCAAAATGTCTGCGATCGCATCAAAACGTGGCAATTAAAATGGTAAATATGTATGTGCTCCATAAACATAGTATATATACTAACTTTCGATAATCCGGCAGATTGACAAAAAGCTCATACAGGGCTCGGGATTATCGAACCGAGTTAGACAAGAAGTGGAAATTCATTCCCGCCTCAAGCATCCTTCTGTGTTGCAGCTGTATACGTTTTTTCAGGACGCCAATTATGTGTATTTGATTTTGGAACTGGCCGATAATGGTGAACTGCATCGTTATATGAACCAGCAAATGAAGCGTCCATTCACCGAAGAAGAAGCGTCCTCCATTCTGCGGCAGGTAGTGGATGGTCTGTTATACTTGCACTCGCACAACATCATGCATCGGGACATATCGATGTCAAATTTACTGCTTAGCAAGGATATGCACGTCAAAATTGCTGACTTTGGCCTGGCGACACAATTGAAAAGGCCAGATGAACGGCACATGACCATGTGCGGCACTCCAAACTATATATCACCAGAGGTTGTTTCACACCAGTCACACGGCTTGCCAGCGGATCTCTGGAGCGTTGGCTGTATGCTCTACACGCTCCTGGTGGGGCGACCCCCCTTTGACACTGACGCCGTACAGTCAACGCTCAACAAAGTGGTGCACTCCGACTATACGATTCCGAGCCATCTGTCGTATGAGGCACGCGATTTAATCGATAAGCTGTTGAGGAAAAACCCACATGAACGCATCTCACTCGAGCAAGTTCTCAGGCATCCATTCATGGTAAAGGCCGGCGGAAGCGCAATATCGTACACAACGTCCGGCACGTCTGACGGCTATGGTCAAAGTATTGTCAGCGGAGACAGCGGCATCGTCACATTTGCCAGCAGTAAGCAGAAGATTTCAGTATAATATTCGTATATACTATAATCACAATTCATTCCTAGATGATTCGAAGAACTCACGTCGGCTACGTTCGGTTGAACAACAGTCCACGCCGCAGATGATGCCGCAGATCCATGAAGAATATGGTTATTATCAGGAACACCGTCAGCAGTACGCGCCACACGCAGCGTATAGACAGAGTACAGCGGAGACGTTGGACAGCACGGAAATGGACTGGCAGAGAATGGGACAGAATACACAGAAGGCCAATTTTTTGGTACATTCGACGCCAGCAGCGTCTGTGCCTGCAGCGGTCATTCGAAAAGCTGGAAAGCACAATACAGAGCACATTTCCGTGCCCCCTTTAAACACGCTCCGATTGCAGCCAACGCGGTACAAGACAAAAAATGCAATCATGAGCATTGTGGCAAACGGCGAGGTAGTCATCGAGTTTATAAAGAGCAAAAGTAAAATGAATGAAGATCGCATCATTGATATCTGCCGCATATCCGGCGACGGACGCCGCATTATAATTCACCAACCAGATCCTGGGCGGTAAGAAAACAAGCACCCACAGCGTATCGTAATATATATAATTAATTGTTTTCAGAGGGCTGCCCATACGGGAGCAAGCGTCGGAAACCCATTCAAGCGGCACAGATAACGTTTACAACTATGATAATTTGCCCAGCAAGCACTGGAAGAAGTACGTGTACGCTGCGCGATTCGTGGGCTTGGTGAAGAGCAAAACGCCGAAGGTGACGTACTTTAGTACCTTGGCGAAATGCCACCTAATGGAAAACATGGCTGATTTCGAGATGAACTACTTTTCGGGGGCCAAATTGACCAAGTCTCCCAGCGAAGGTATCAAAGTGCTTGATAACCACGGCGTACAGCTTTTGGATCAGTCGAGTTCCGAAGCAAAACGATTGATTGAGCACAGCAATGAATGTTTCGCCCATTGCCTGAGCATTTGCAATGCACTGGAGCTGGCACAAACGGGCAGCAATACTTGTTTTCCCGTCACGATTGGACGACGACCCATTGTAGAGGTGTTGCCCTCACATCGGCCGGAAGGACTTCGGGATACAACAAATTTTGCGTATTCCACACCAAAGTCGCAACAGGTAATTCAACATAATAAGATTCATAAAAGCCCCATTTAATATAACATTTTGCTGTTTCAGGGCTCAATAAACTTTTCCATTAGCACCATCTCATCGATGCGCAGTGGGAGCGATAATATTGGATCCCAGCTGTTGGCAGCCCAGCAAAACGTCCCCATCAAGCGGCTGAACGTACCGGGCGTTGGCACTGCCACAGAGGTGGGTTTTAATCTGTTTGATTAATTAGCGAGATTAACAACTGCTTTGATTTCAATTTCAGCTGTCCCATGGAATTGTGCAAGTTCAATTCCTTGATGGATCAGTCATCTCTGTCATACCTGAGGCACAAGGTGGTGGCATTACATACACGCAGTCAAACGGCGTCTCTACCCACTTTCCCGACCATGACGACCTACCATTATCGGTAAGGGATCGACTCTCGCAGCTGCCTCAGGTGCAGATGAAATTGAGGTGTGCTCCTCTGATCAGTAGCAAAAAGTTTGACTGCAATGCCATGAACGCCAAGTCGACGGCGTCTGCGCCTTGGTACAATCGTATGCTAATCTAAATGGCCTAAAACATTTTTTTTTTTTAAGAAAAAAGTAAAATTGATTTTGTATTTTAAGGTAGCTTTCATGTTTTATATGAATATATTTTATATCTATTACATTGATAGCAGGATGCTATATATTTTGATATACATATGTTACTGAAAATTGGTGCACTTTGCTTTCCTTTTCAGTTTCCGTCCGAGACGGAGACCTATGTATATATAACAACAGATTTTGCAATATGTAAACAACATATTTTAACTAGAATCGATTGTTTTTGTAATTTGACGTTAGGAAATTTCCAAATTAAATAATTTCTAAGAGTTCACTACATCTAATAAAAATTAAAGTTATGTTACTTATGAAGATAGTGTAAAATACAACTAAATTGACATCTGAATCAAAATGTTTGAAAATCGCATAGAAAGGCGAGCTAAAATGTATGTCTGTTTTAAATGTTTTTTTCTACTATAACATACAAAAACCAACCTCTGTGCTACTAAAACTGTAAGTCTTAAAGCATCTACAATTGCTATAATATAATTAATATGCATTGTTTATTTCACTCATTTGTAATGAAACGGAACAAATTACCTGTTCACTAGTTTAAAAATATCGCTAGTTATAAGTACGCATAACTATCGATATAGAACTCGGAAAATCGATATAATTTTAACATCACTAGTATTTTTGGTAGATACAAACGAGTTTAGTGTTTTTGTCAGTGCTGAACAGTTTGGTTTAAGTTTGTTTTATTTTAATTCTGAGCTTACTAGCACAGTGAATAAATGTGTGCGCGGAAATTAGCAAAGTTGATCATAAAATTCAAATGAATTATCATATACGAATTGCAACATATAAAACCAAATTATTATTTAGTGATTGGCAAGCCTCTTTTTGTTAAGTCGCGCACAGTCTGGCCCACAGCTCAGAAACTGGTTTGAGTTGACTGCGTTCGTGCGTACAAACACTTCCATACACATTCATTCAGCCACACACACACATACTTAAAGTCACCATGTTCGTATACATGTAAACAAAATAACCGTAAACAACATAGTACCAAACCCGCGCACTCCTGCTTAATACCATAAAACTGCTTGTGAAATACATATATATTGCTTGATTTTATTTAAAAAAACAAATCATACAAAATGCGTAAGTTTTATTTTATTATTAATTTCGTTACATTTTTTAAGTGACCTACTTAGTTTAAAAAAATAATTGACATAATTCCGTTAGCATATTTATTAAGGTATGCAAGCTTACAATAAGACTGCTCGCCCTGGCAATGTCCTGAATTTTGTACTCTTTTACATATGCATATACATAATTGAATGTATGTGTGTACACACTTTTTGTTTATTTTATCCCTTACATGGAATAATTTATTAACATTTCTGAGTGCACACTGATCATTCGATTTGGTAGATTCGTAGAGCTTTAATGTGGTATTCTCCTGTAAAACGCGAAAGCGTTTCAAACTGTAAAATTGGGAAGAGTTTCGAAAAAGTTAAAATTTATTTGATCTTTTGTTCTTAGTGTCTCTTATAGTCACATAGCCGAGATTAAAATCTATATTAATCGATTTGAGTAAATATGAAGCCCCCCCATGCAATTGAGAAACAATCCTAAATTCCTGAAATTTAAAGTACAATGCACACACTTCTATTTCTGTGAACATTTTTAATATATTTTTAACTTCCACTTCGATCTTTCTAGTAAAACTCTGATAACATTTTATTCCTTTAATTAGTTAAATAATATTTTACACCCAAGCCAAGCTTGTTAAATATTAAAATGCGTTAAACTATGGAACATCTTTAATGATCCATCTCGTATCTTGGAAGTTAAGGATGTTTTGAAGCATTAAGTATTTCTAAGTCAGTCCCCATCTGATCTCTAGATCAGCTTCATTCCATCCAATTACATATTACATATGCATGTGCACATGTGTGTATGTATGTGTGTCATTAAGTGTACGTGACCTCTTAATTAACTACTTCAGTTGAATAAGAAGAGAGTGTAATGTTTTCGAGTTCGAATGACCATTGTCAATAGCAGTTGGACAACAGCGCTGTTGCTCTCCATAATGTGAACAGAGAGAGAAACTGATAAACGGTTCTTGGTGCTCGCTGAGCAAACAAACTGGCTCCAACCGCACCTCAGTTACAACAACAACCAGCGATAATTTGCTCAGCACGAAAACGAAATTCGTTCTCACACAGAGGCGGTCAGCTGCGAGCACGAGCATGAGAACAGAATCGGAGTCGTAATGAACTAGCTGCTATCTCGATTAACGCTCAGTGAGAAGGGCTCACTAGATACATACAAGTAGTAGCATACGCAGGCTAGGAGCAAAGCTTCAGTCTGACTGTTTTCGGTGACGTCGAAAAGTGAGTGTGTGTGATTCAGAATTTGTGCAAGTTTCGTTGAAAAAACATGCAGTGCGCGCGTAGAGAGCGTTAAACATTGTTCATTTTCGGCAGCTGTTCATATCAAGTGTACCCACTAAAAAGGCTTCGATTCAATAGATATTCCGCTGTGCAATATGTCCGGTAAAGGGAATAACAATAATCGCGATCGCATACGAGATCCACGCGAAGAGATTCTGCTCGAAACCAACTTTGAAGATGATGGCGGGGTGCTAACACGCGCCTACAATAATAATCCCTATCAGAATCGGCGGCACAGCGCATACCAGTCGGACCGCTCCTTGGACAGGTACACTGAACGCGGTGGCGAAGGTAGGACGACTGTGAATCTATATGTACATTTATTACAAAGCACATAACGGCATAACGGCGCACAATTGTTCGTATTTGTCCACCATTCAGATTCGTGCGCTTTATCACAGTACCTTGTTCTTATCTTGTCTTTGTATTTGTGTGTATGTACATACATACATACATATATATGTTATGTTATGTACATATGTTACTTTGCACCTTCGTCACTCTGTTACAAAAATATGTGCAACTGATATGTTTATAGTTCGTAATATATTTGTTTTTTAAACAAGAATTTGCCATTGATCCGAAATAAAAAACTAAAATATTTGTTTAACTTCTTCTGATCACATAAATATTATAAAACTCATTAAAATTGGAAAATTAATTCTAAATGTATTTATTTATTTTTTTAAAATTTAATTTAATGATTGTCAATCCTTTCAGCCGAGTGTTGTCAGTCATGTATGGCACGCATACCCTATGCAACGCTAATAGCGACACTTATGTGCCTGCTTGGGGTTGGCATCTTCTGCGGCACAATGTATCGAGGTGCTTCGCTGACGGTTATCATGATGGATCAGGTGTTTCACCTGCGTCTGATATGGTGAGTCCTGTGCATTAGTTGAATAAATGTTACAACATTCATATGTATTTCAGGATCGAGGCTGTGCAGATGATATTTGTCATAATTGCCGCTGGCATGGCTGCTCTTGGATTTATGATTCTATTTGTGGGCTTTCTAGCAACGGGTGCGACACGCTATAAAGTTTACCGCGCGTGGCGATCACGCGTCGGCGGTCGCATCTCCTGCGCCGTGCTCATGGGCATTACGTATATGCTTAACTTCGTGTGGACGCTCATTTTATGCTTCTTGGTTATAGTGACGTTCATTTACACCATGTTCTGGAACATGTGCTCAAGTGTGGAGCACTCTTTAAGCTGTATTGATTTGACACAATTTCGTAAGCGAACCATACTCACTTCAGGCACATTACAAAAATATATACAAATTAAAATTTGTTCTCTTGTAGATTTCATGTTTCCGCCAAACACCAAGCTTGAGGACATGAAGGTCTGCGAAAAGTATGAGATCAAGGCATTCTGCAAGGATGGCGTTGAGAACGCTGAAGTCATGTTTATTCTGGCCACGCTGTCGACGCTTTTGGTCATTCTCAGTCTTGTGCACTATTTAATGTGTCTTTCGGCCAATTACGCGCACATTCGTGACCATGAAAAGTTCCAGGAGCTGCAGGAGATACAAAATCTCAACGAACTGGAGTATAGCGCCACTTCCAAGGATCGCTTCTAGGATTTATTTAGAACTATTCAATTTGAGCTTCATTAATAATATGAAACAAATTGGCACAATGAAGCACAATGACACAGTAATGCAACGAAATTTAGCTGTAGCGTTAAAACTTTGTTTTTTGATCATATGCATATTCCAATTTATGTATTAGATATTGGGTAATTTATTGTTCTTTATTTTAATATAACTTTAGGCCAGTAACAAAACAAATTGTACACACAGAATTGTATACTTTTAAGCAATAACGGGTTTACTTGTACCCCACCGTAAAACATTCCAAATTTAAGTGTTCATTACATCAATAGAGTCTACTTAACAATCTTATGTCCAAATGTTGGTTCACTTGACGTAAACGCATATTTGAACCAAAGTATATATTTTCCGTCCACAAGTTCTTGTTTTTAATTGGCTGAACTTTATTTTATTTACCTTGCGGTTTTATACAGTTCATATAACTATTATAAGATCATTCAAATATATTTGTACATGTTTACGTACATATGCTTATTCATACTTATATATTTACATTATTAACATATGTATATAACTACATACAAATAAAGCATTTTTAATTATTTACGCCTGATCTAGCAATAATATAAACATAACTGTGTCTAAAGTCAATTGTGTTACAGATATTTAAAATTTGCGGGCAAACTCGTCAAAAACAATATATAAAGAGGTGAATTTATTGCACTATCGATAACTTAAAAAGCATTCAATTGGAGCCCTAAATATGGTAAAACGATTGAATTTGTCCGCTTTGTTTGTTTACTAAGATACAAAGTAACACAATTTTAAATGGACTTATTTTTTTTACCTAAATTGTATTGCATCTAACTATTCCGATTGCAAATACAGTGCCAGCTGTTCAGTTCGATAGTTCCAAATATATCGATAGTAATCGATTGCTAGTGAGCTCTTTAGCGTATATTTATTTCGTAAGATTTTAATAAATAATATGCAAAAACGTTAAAAATTATAATTATGTTGCGAAAACTCAATTCACCAACAACTATTTTCGTGGCAAGTAGTTTTAGAATAGTTTACCTATTATTATATTGTTATTTGGAATATATTTGTAAATTGTGACGTTTGCTTTGTTTTGCAGCGAGCAGCATCGGCACGCGTCGAAAAGTTGGAAGAAATCCGAGAACGTTTGTCTAAAGGTCCAAATTTTCAAGATTTTATACAAAATTCGGACAGTATTAAAGATGACTGGGAGAATTACGAGGGCAAGTTGCGTCGTGAAAAAGGAGAGAATCAAACCTTGCGCCTTCCTCCATGGCTAAAAACGACAATTCCAATGGGCAAGAATTATGCTAAGATTAAATCCCAGTTGCGAGACCTCAAGCTGTCCACTGTGTGCGAAGAGGCGCGATGTCCGAACATTGGCGAGTGCTGGGGCGGCGGCGAGCATGGCACACAGACAGCCACAATTATGGTATGACCTCTGACATTTGCTGATAGCGTAACGCTTTCTATTGATTACAACAGCTCATGGGAGACACTTGCACACGAGGCTGTCGATTCTGCTCGGTGAAAACGGCGCGTATCCCACCGCCTTTAGATGTGAACGAACCTGTGAACACCGCCAAGGCCATTTCGTCTTGGGGCCTGGATTATATAGTCTTAACATCCGTGGATCGTGATGGTATGTTTCAACTTTCCAAGCACTAAAAACAATTCTAAATGGAGTCTACCTGCAGATTTGCCGGACGGTGGCTCCAAACATATTGCAGAGACGGTGCGTGAAATTAAGGCACGGTGAGTAAAGTTGAATGTCGATAACATTTGAAATGCTGTCTCAATCCGTTTGTTTTTCAGAAACTCAAATATATTTGTAGAGTGCCTGGTGCCCGACTTCCGCGGAGATTTGGAGTGTGTGAAGACAATTGCAACTTGCGGGCTCGACGTGTATGCACATAATATTGAAACTGTTGAGAAGCTGACCCCATTCGTACGAGATCGCCGCGCCCATTATAGACAGACACTACAAGTACTGCGCGAAGCCAAGGGCTTTAATCCGAATCTCATAACCAAAAGTTCCATTATGCTGGGCCTGGGCGAAACGGATGCAGAAGTTGAGCAGACCATGCTGGATTTGCGAGAGGCTGGCGTTGAATGCCTAACCTTGGGCCAGTACATGCAGCCCACAAAGAGGCACCTTAAGGTTATCGAGTATGTTACGCCTGAAAAATTCAAGCATTGGGAAGTGCGAGGAAATGAGCTTGGCTTTCTCTACACTGCCAGTGGACCACTTGTGCGAAGCTCTTACAAAGCTGGAGAGTTCTTTATTACGAGTATATTGGCGAATAGAAGGAAGTCAGTTTGATTGAGACACATTTGAATGAATTCAAATTTATTTGCTTGTATATTCGGTAATTGCTAATAAATCGTTATATATGTATCTTGTTAATGACCTAAGGGTATACACATTTTATGTTAAATATAGTTAGAAAGACAATTCTAAATTATTTGTAACCTTTAAATCCCTTTTAAAATTTATTCGTATTTAATTTTGGGCTTTTTTGACGATCCGAATTTGAAGATAGTAAAAATAATAAGGGTTTGTCTAGACGCAATGGATTTTGGTGCATATTAAAAATACCAATTTGGTATCTGACCTCTAGATTATACGGGCACACTTAAGCTACGTTTTTTTTTCGTTTTTGCTATTGTGTGACCATTTGTCGTTGTTTTTAGTTGAAAGTGCAAAAAGAAGTACACCGTAAATTCTGAAAGGCAATACTTACATTGTAAAAAACTAATAACTAAACAAAATTAATGCTAATGTCTGCTCACAGAACGTTAAAAGAGAAATGCAGATATGAAATAAGATAAGCTGTATATGTATGCAGTTTGCTGTATTTATGTACGTACATATACATGCATACATATGTAATCTGAATATGTATGCATGTGTGGCAGTGCGTTTTTGTTTTTACACACATTGTTGGTGTATGTGTGCCACAAAGAGTAGGAAGTTGACGAAATTGAAACCCATTAAAACAGTCATTTAGTATGTTATATTGATAATATTGATAATGCGGTAGTGACAATCGAGTGTGGCCAAAAAGTGAAAATTTATACATGCATTTTATGCAAGTATGGCGTAAATAAATACATATATATGTACATACATATATACTACATCAGACACGGCCATGGAAGAGCAACCTAAACGTGAAAATGTATTGGTGTTCACCAACAGCAGCTTTGTTTCTACATTGTTTTTGTTTTGAATGCAATTGTTCCCTTTCTGGCACACTCTTTGCCTTTAGCTAATGCTCGGTTCGTGTCTGTGTTAAAACCCGATTGCATTCGGGCTGCTATTGGGCTCTATATACCCGAACCAGTATTATTACAAGTAGTAAATGCATTTTTACACACATGTAGAAATGCATGCTCGAGTCTATGTATGCATGTATGTGTGTACACCAATTTTCATGCGATTGGGGTACATTTTTTGAACATCATTGATGTAGACACAGATATACGAATACAAATGCATTTATATATGTGTACGTGCGTGTGTACGTTTTATTATTAAATATACAAAAATTATATAAAATACTAAAATATGCTGTAAATGATTGTATTTAAAATACAACTTTAGAGTTTGGTATATACGTACATATGTATATAAGTATATATGTGTGTATATGTATATAGTTATCTACCAAAGGGTTTTTGATAACTTGATTGTTGCTGATCATGGTACATTTAATTGAGTTAGATTAAAATCAGGTAAACTCTTAATGTAGATACCATACTTCCTTTTGTTCGAATTGAAAACACAAATAGATAAGAATACCTTCTGCGTGCTGCGTAGTAAAATATATATATATACATACATACGTATTTCGGGAATCCTCGGACATCTTTGTAACCAACCTAATCTGTGTAGCAAATGTTAATTAAGACCAACAATTACAACTAATTTAATTTTAGAAAACATTTCTTTTAACAGTGTCATATCATTTGTTATCAACGGTCCCAAGATCCTGATCTTCAGAGTGGAGGGTGATTGAGGTAATAAAAAGGCCGATACGGATAATTACGTGCCGGGTGGACAGACGAAGAGTGGTGGCTGCTTGTTGCCGTGCGGTTCCTAAAAAGTACTCAAAATTGATAGAAAGAACAAAAAGGCTGCTGCAACTGGTGCCTCAGCCGGGGACCAGCCGCCGCGCAAAAAGGGACGTCGCTCCGGAGGATCCAATTCAGTTTCTGCCGTAGACTCGAACGCAGCGTCTACGTCCAGGGCAGCGCAACAGCAAACTCCGAGTGCCTCTGAACGAAGAAGTGATACGCAGCCGAGCCGCAAATCTAATTCGGACGCAAATAGATTGCAGCCCAATTCCACAACGTCCATGACGGACACCACCCATACACAGAACAGCAATAGCAATAGCAACAGGCAAAGCGACAATAGCATCGGCTCTGGCATGAATATGCAGAATACAACAGCCTTGTCATCCTCAACAGCCGGCTCTGCAGACGGTACTGGCGCCGCTGTGGAGTTACCAACAGGCGGCGACAATGTTACCCGAGAGGGTGGCGGCGGCGGCAGTGCTGGTGGCGATGCCGCAGCCGATGAGGTTGCCCAACCCTCGAGCGGCCATAGCAATAATACGACAAACGGTCACGATGTGAAGCACAATGGATTCGCGGCCAACAATAATGGCAGCACGAACAATTGTGCGGTGGACGGGGAAAACAATCGGGAAAATAATAGTGGCTACAGCGGCATTCATTTGGACAAGTCGAATCAAGAGATTATACGGCTCATTGGCCAATATCTGCACGACGTTGGTCTCGAGAAGTCGGTGAAGACTCTAATGGTTGAATCAAACTGTTACTTGGAACATCCCTCGGCTACAAAGTTCAGGGAGCATGTCCTGGTTGGCGATTGGAGCAAAGCAGATGCTGATCTCAAGGTAAGAGCAAAGCCAAAAAAACAATATCAATAGGGCATAAATTTAACTTGAAATAAACCTGATCTACGTACGGAAAGCGTAATTTGACATGGTGTCTATATGGAGGACCTTGTTTGCCTCAAGTTCCATTAATATTTTCTTAAAGAGCAGAATGTATGATTAGTTAATAATTAAACCTGTTTCGATATTCTTTTGTAATTTACCATTTTGATATTTGCAGGACTTGGAACCATTGATCGATAATGGAAAATCATCCACAATTACAGAAATGAAGTTCATATTGTTGGAACAAAAGTACTTGGAGCATTTGGATGATGGCAATCCGTTGGACGCACTGCACGTGCTGCGCAGCGAGCTGACTCCACTACAGCACAACATTTCACGTGTGCATCAATTATCCTCTTACATGATGTGTTCGACCAATGAAGACCTCTACCAGCGCGCCAAATGGGATGGCAAGGGCATAGCATCGCGTGCGCTTGTGATGGAGCGTCTGCAGACATTTATGCCGCCATCGGTGATGATGTCGCCGCGTCGGCTGCGCACATTGCTTCAGCAGGCGGTTGAGCTGCAGAGCCAGAACTGCCCCTGTCACGATATGGCCTGGGAGACAAATCTGCAGACAGTGTCCCTGCTGACCGATCATTGTTGCACCACAGATGGCTTTCCCATGCAGACAATACAGGTGCTAACCGATCACTGCGACGAAGTCTGGTTCTGTAAGTTCTCGCCCGACGGCCTCAAGCTGGCCACGGGCAGCAAAGATTCCACTGTGATCATCTGGGATGTAGATCCATACAAGTTGACGCTCAAACATCGCCGTGTGCTCGATGGTCAAGCGCAGTTAAACGTTAGCTTCGTCAGCTGGAGTCCGGACTCAAAGCTTATTCTAGTGGGCGGCACCGAGGACTCGCACGAGCTCTTCATCTGGAATGTTGACGATGGGAAGCTGGTTGTCAAGTTCTCGCAATCCCCGGATGATAGTCTGGCGTGCGGCACATTCAGTCGCGATGGCAATCATTTTGTCTGCGGTGGTCAAAAGGGACAGCTTTATCTGTGCGATCTGAACGGCACTCTAATCGACTCCTGGGAGGGCGTGCGCGTTAATAGCGTCGCCTTTCGGGCTGATAACAAAACCATATTGGCGGCCGATAATCACTATCGTATAAGAGGGTGAGTAGAAAATAATGCAACAATATCATACTCGTTTCTTGATCCGCATCAAATTGCAGCTATAATTTTGATAACCCACGCTCTGACTTTGATATACTGCGGGAGCCGCATCCGATTATGACGTTTAGCATCAATTCTGCCGATCGTTTGGCCTTGTTAAATGTCTCCAATCAGGGCCTGCATCTTTGGGATATCGAGGATAAGTGCTTAGTGCGACGTTTTCAGGGCATACGGCAAAGCAATTTTGCCATTCATTCTTGCTTTGGCGGCGTTAACGAGAGCTTTGTGGCGAGCGGCAGCGAGGACAAGGTTGTGTACATTTGGCACTTGAAGCGCGAGGAGCCCCTGGCTAAGCTGGCCGGTCACACCAAGACGGTGAACTGCGTGTCCTGGAATCCAGTCTATCCGTCCCTACTAGCCAGCGCTAGCGATGATGCCACCGTGCGCATTTGGGGACCGAAACCAACGGGCAGCAGTGCAACGACGGAGAGTGATGATTGCTCATCCAGTTCGTCATCGTCCTCGTGGAACATGACCTAAAACCGCAATTTGCTTAACGTTGTATTTATGTGGTGACTGCGCAGTAGGGGATTGCAGTATGAAATTGGGGTTTCTTGTTCAAGGCCAGAATATATAGCCATGGATACATTTCAATTGCAATCGAATTTTTGCCACAATCAACTTTCAATTATACGCTGTTTAAGTTTCGTCCGTTTCTATTTGTTTTTTTGTATATGCAAGATCCTCTAATGCGTTAATCCACATAAATAGGTACGTGATTACTCTGAATTAGCTGTAAGTAAACTCCCAATGTCGATCTAAATGTGGTGCGCATGCCCCTGCAACCAGTTGCAATTTGTTGCCGGGGCGGCGAAAACACAAGACTGCCATTATCCAAAACAATGTGGATGAGCAGCATGACTTACAATTAGCATTAAACTTAAATAAGGTACATTGACATTGTCTCACACATAATCGGACACAATCGCAGACGCACGATGCGCATATGTATGGATACTGTTCAAAGCTTTTCAAGAAACAATAGTATTTTTGTTTTGTTTTTTTATATTTTAAAACTTCATACTCATATGTATGTATATTTATTTACATGCCTATGTATTGTCGATTGGCTTTTAGTTTTTACCAGGTTTCAAAATGTGGTTAAGCATTTTGCAAACAATTGCCATTTTAACTACCTTGTCTACTCTTCGATACTTCGAACGATTTCCATTGCTTTTGGTTCAAACAAGTTAATCAGCCTGAATCCCTTCAGTAATGTTGTGTATGCATCCTATTTTATCGGAATATTGTGCGTGCGGACTCCCGGTACATTTTAATTGTTCATTACTTATAGATTGAAGGCCGTAGCCGCATCTCACGTTAAGAAGACTTTTGTTTCGACGTTTACAGATTGTTGTTAACAACGTTTAACCAAATTAATGATATAACGAAAAGGGCCTTTAACCCCAATTTTATTTTATAATCAATACATGCAATAAAGATAGCGCTATTTACATACATATGTAATTTAAATTTGAACATTAACTGATTGGTAAAAATTCATTAGGAAAAAGAAAGTCTTACCATTGATCAAAATAAACGATATTGCCGTCTTTTTCCAATTTAATTTGATAATTTGAAACGGATAACATACATAATGCAAAGAGTGACAGTGCTTAAAAATGCCGCGCTTTGCGTTACTTATCGATAACTACAGCTGTTTGCAACAGCGATACTTATCGATATATGAGCATGTATAAAAATCAGCTGTTTGCAACAGCGGTAAACTTAACATTGACACTGAACTGTAAAAAGCAATTAAGCGAACACAATTTTTAAGAAGTCGGCTTTTAAACATTTTCGCAGGAATGGCGTCTGTAGGCGATGGTAAAATAAGCTTGCGAAAATTAGAATATCCAATGTGTGCAGTTGAGGCACTTTCCCGCTTAGGTTGGCTCACACTTCATTTCTTGATACCATTTTTCGTTAGTAATGTTTTTCTTGTTGCAGAGGGCCTCATTGCTAGCCGAAATAAACAGAACTTGGCAATGCAGATAATTTCCGAGTTCATTTTTCTGGAGCGCACTAAGGATGGAGACGTGCGCAAAATGCAAACGCTCGGCATAAGCCAAATGAATATCTATCAGGAGTTTCAATTGATTCTAGCGCTCATCGAGTACTTCTCGCGGCCAGGCCGGGATGCGACACGCAATGCGATATTCCTCTCGCTATTTGGCAGCCACTTGACGCCGCAGCGGTCTAGGCTGCTATCCAGACTAATCAGCACTGCAGTTTCGGGCTCGGTGGCTCCACTGCTCTCCTCTGCAGGCACATGGATGCAACAAGTTGGCTGCAAAACGCCGCCAAGCCTAGAGGTTGCACAGAATATTGTCAGCGATTTTATCTCGTTCTCGCGCAAAACTCCCGAACAGTTAAGGCATCTGCCCATGGTGGGTCCGCATTTTGCAGCTAACTTTATGGTCGCTGTCGCTGATCTGTATCTAAATGAGAAGCGTGGTGGTGTTTTGACACCACCGCCGGATGCCCTACTGGATGCAATAACAGAGTGGACGTCGGAGAATCCGTTGCTCTGCCAGGCACCGCAGCAGCCACTTGTTTTACCTGCGGGCGCTATTGCCATGCCGTTTGCTACTCCGCTGGCCGGCTTGTTGCGTTGGGTAGTGCTGGCCCCGTTGGTATCCAACCGGCAAGCTTACAGTAACTTGCATTTATCATTACTGCACACTCTACTTAAAACGGCCAACAATGGCGAATCCACCATATCCTTGCATTCCCAAGACCTTATGCAAATTGTCACATCATTGCAAAAGTACTGTGCCCGTCTGACTGAGGCAAAGGTAGCTCCCGACGCGGACGCCGCATACCTGAAATCCATGGAACGCTTCGCTCAAGCTGTGCAGATAGCATTGGCCTCCAACTGCATCACAAACCACATTCAGCTGCTCTGCGTGTTGGAGACGCTGCCGCCACACGCACTCATGAAAATTGTGTTGGCAGCGCATAAAAAGCTCTAATCAAATATTGGAAGCCACATAGGTTAGTTGTTTTATTTAATAAGTTGTACATAAAATTAATTTGAAGCCCAATTTATAACTTTTACATTTAAACAAGTACATAAGACATTTGATCTTCTCCATTCTGCTGTAGAGAAAATTAGGCGATTACTAAAATAACTTCTTGAACTTATTGTAATCGCATAAAAAAGGCTTAGACTAATTTTCTATTCAAGTATTCTCTACGGATTTTAAATGATTTTAAAAATGTCGTCGAAATGCTGCCAGACGGTCGAAACAAACGAAGGATTGCAGTGCGCAGGACCTGCGCGTGAGCAAATCCCAATGAATTGGAGGAAAATCAATAAAGTGAAGTTCAGAGAGCATCCCAAATAAAACCTGAAAATATCGTTCCGGTGGTGCTGTTTGTTTTGGAACAAGCTCGCAAATTATTTGATCTATTTGTAATAGAAAAACGGATATACCTTAAAGGATGCAATGAACGCAGTGCCAAATCGTGACTTTATGGAGGTGCATCCGCTGCATCAGCATCAGCCGCATTGCAAGCAGCAATGTTTTGTGTTCACCGAGATAGCGGACATTGAGCTTCCAGCCGAGATAACAAAGTTTGGTGGTGGCAATGAAAAGCTGCACTGCTCCAATGGCGGCATACCGAGCTACAATTGCAAGAAGGACTCGTGCAGCGAGTCGTCCGTTGAGCGTCCTGGACGTTCGCGTAGCCGCAAAATTCTGGTGGGCGTTTGCCTGGTCTTAGTCTGCATTGCCATGGCCGGCGGTATTCCGCTGGCACTTCAATTGCGCTCCTCCTCGTTGCTGGAGGCACGTTTGGCATTTATACGACGTCTGCTGACGGAGTCGCCGCTCATTGAGGGCTCCTGGAAACCACCCAGTGATGTCAAGCTGAACAGCAGTGGCATGGCCGACATAAGGCAGAACCATATTGGTGCCGTGCTCTGGCCTATAGCTGTTCACTGTGGTGCCCAGTATCTGGACGCAGTTCAACTGGTTCTCGAGGGCATCGATGAGGCGAAACGGATCACAGCTGCCACGAATTCGATGCATATTGTGGAGTCTGCCGATGAGATGGAGCAGACCCACATCAGAGGCGAGGTGGCCGTCCTTATGGGCATCGGTGGTGGTCATGCCCTGGGCACCAGTCTCGCGGTTCTGCGCTCCCTCTATCTGCTGGGCGCTCGATTCGTTTCAATTACCAGCCTGGAATGTACAACACCTTGGGCTGCCGCAGCCATACGGAGACGCGATTATCTGATTGAGGAGAATGTGACCAATTCGCTTAACGAGTTCGGAAAGGTGGGTGCAATAACATTGAATGGGACTAGCAGAGTTTAAAGTTTTAGTTATTGTTTGTTTCAGACAATGCTTTACGAAATGAATCGCCTGGGCATGTTGATTGAAATATCACAGCTGAGCGAAACGGCAATGATAATAGCCCTGCGCACCGCGAAGGCGCCCGTTCTCCTAATGAATGCCACGCCGCTTTCCATGTGTAATGGCACGAATGTGGCCTCCATACCGGATCATGTACTCAGGTAAGTTTTCAATCTATAATTTGCAGTTTCTTTGTGATCTGTAGTCGGTTTTGAACATTCCAGCCTTCTGCCAGAAAATGGTGGAGTCATACTGCTAAACCTGGAGCGCTGTGGTGATCGGCAGATCAGCGTGCGCGAGGCTATACTGGCTATTAACTATGTGCGAAAGATGGCTGGCGTGGATCACATTGGCCTGGGCGGAGCCCCCAAAAGCTACGCATTGTTGTTGGCCGAGTTGGCTCGTGATCGGGTTTGGGGGAATGCGGCTATAAAGAAGCTGGTTGGCGGCAATGTTATGCGGATTTTGCGTGAAATTGAAGCTCTTAAGAATCGCTTGCCCCTATACGAAGAATGGATCCCACACGAGTCCATCGAAAGCAATTCATATTGCCGCTATCCAGAGTCGTAAGCGATGCGTTTTTAAATTTATTTTGTTTGACTTCCGTCAGTTAAAATTCTCTGTGAGCTACATGCTCAATGTAGATAAATAAATCACAGGATGATAGAAATGAAAATGTATTTTGCCCTCTAAGTCGAGCGAGTGGCAGTTAATATTGATGGTTAATATTGATACACATAAATAATTTATTAAGAAAAAGTTTTTTTTCGCAAAAAAGACAAATATTAATGTTAAAGTAGATGCGATATTGACGGTCGTTTCTTATACCAAAATATTTTAAACATTTTTCTTATAATAATAACAATTTAAAAAGCTTTATGCATCGATCGAAAGACAGTTACAATTTGCCTTCAGTATTTTTTAACGACAACGTCAAACAAATATTGCGGAATCAGCTAAAAAATACCATAAAATCGCAATGCAACCATGCGGTCAATTTATGCTCTGTGCCAATATACATACATATCTTACATCGAATTCATAGTTTTAAATTAAAAGTATTCATTTTCATAAATCATTCGGTACACGCTGAGATAACTCACAATTGATTAACTTTTATAGTAAATGTTGAGTTGTTAAAGTTTTTCTGGCAATTGTACGGAAACTAGCCAAGAATTAATGAGAAGCATTAGGTCCTTCAACCTACAACACGCTTTAAGTCGCTTATTAACCGAGATTATTATACATATCTTAATTATACAAGATCTGGCGATGAAAGATGTGGCGCAAAACGATTTCTTCGCTTCACCTAGAATGACAAGGAACGTTTGTTAAAAAGGTAAGAGACGATTATGTATTTATTGCAGCTGCGAATAGTAAACGAGAGGCTTGCCAACATTGTTTATAGCGAAGATCTGTTTTGATAAACATAATCTAAAGACCTCAGAATTTAGAATTTTGGTTTCAAAGCTAATAGTTTATGGCGAATGCAACAATAAGATATAAATACACAAATATGTCGTCGCAATAAACGCTTACAGGCTTAAACCATTTAAGTGCGCGAGAGCTACTTTTTTTGGCACTTTACCACACTGTCAAATTGACCAAGATGGCGTTTCGTAAGCCAATAGTTATTGTCGTTTAGTAAACTCATAGGGTTCCTTGATCTTCGCTTTATCTATGGATGTCATTGCGTTTATATATATTCGGTTAGATCATGTTTAATTCGCGTGAGCTCATTGTCCTAACTAGTAACTTGTTGTTTGTAATTGTCAATTTAGTAGATTTCGCTTAAACCAAACAACGGGGCAAGATGCAGTAAGAAATGGGGATCACTTGATCCAGGATAGTGCGAACTTAAGTTATTTGCCCGAGAACATATATCTGTTTTCTGAGAAAATAAAGGTGCCGTCCTTATCTCAAATTGCAAATGTTTTCGCACTCGAACTGAAACTCTATTTTTGTTTTGGTTCCATTGAGCATTCGTTAATACATATCACCAATACATACAAAGTTGTAAAAATAAAACACCATTAATAGCTGCTGGAATTATGCGCCTGATAATTGGTGTAGGTGTAACTCTATGTTTTCATTTAAACAAATTCTTTTAAAAGGCAGGATTAAAAAGGCTAATTAGCTCCTAGTAAAAATATTTTAAAATTGACTAAACTAGCAGAGTGCTAAATTGTGAGTGACTTAGAAAAAACCGGCGCACAGAAAATCAGCAAGCGATCATAATGCGAGTGAAATCGATGCGCCACATTAACTGGGATATACACCCACACAAACACGTGTATGCGCAGAGATGCGCCAAGCCCAGAGATAAGCACTTACCTGTTTGTGTGGGTGTTCGCTGTCATTTTTCTGCCTACGCTCACGCGCTCACGACTCTTTTTGGTACTGATCGCTGATTGGTCCATTCAATAACTGCTGGCAATCATGTTCTCGCCTGCCCGCTCACGTGCTCTTTTTTCTGAGCGCCGATTTTATGGATCTGCTCAAATTTATTCTGAGTTAGTGTGGCCCTATTAGTCAGCTCTAAAATATTAAAGGTTGTAGTTTTCTGTCGATTTTTAAGGCTTTTGCGAAATCGAATTTGTATATCTTTCTAAAATCGGGCGTAATATATCCGATCTATTTTTAATTAAAGAATTTTTCTTTTTGTATTTTTCAGCCAAGTCAGCCACGCTCATAGACAACATATAATCAGCAAATGATCGCTATTCATGGTACCTAGTTTACCTTTATATCCTTGGTTATTCCATATCAAGGAGATAGTCCTAGACACCTAAAGGACTGAGTTCCAGCAAAATGCGCTAGAGCAGGGTCCAGAAATATGTATGCTCCTTTTTACAGGTTCCCCCATCAGCGGATGGTTTCTAGTTGACTAGCATATCCTTGGTTATACCATACCATCGATGTAGTCCTTGGAAACCTAAAGGATCTGAAATGGTCCAAAAACATGTATGCTTTTTCTTTCAGGAGCCCTTTTACATAAGCTTCAGATTCAGCTGTTGTTTTACAACCGCCTTACATCGCTCATTTTACTAGCTCTGTTACTTAACAGTACTCGTTTTATTTGAGTTACATTTCTGCCCCTTAAGGGTATGCAACAAAAATTTTAATACGAAGAACTCATCGACCTCCTGGGCATTTCTGTTCGCCTGGTACTTGAGTGAAATTTTAGTGCAAATTTGGCCCGGCGAAGCGGGTGCTCCTTTTTACTACGTCATTTTTCGGTCGCAAAAATAGTTTTTGTCGACCTTCTGGGCATTTCTGTTCGCCTGGTATTTTGACAGATTTCAAGAAAAATCTCGGCAGCCAGGAACGTTTTGGAACGTCATATCTCCAGCGGAGTTATGTCGTTTTGAAACGTCATATCAGCGGAGTTATGTCGTTTTGAAACGTCATATCTCCAGCGGAGTTATGTCGTTTTGAAACGTCATATCTCCAGCGGAGTTATGTCGTTTTGAAACGTCATATCTCCAGCGGAGTTATGTCGTTTTGAAACGTCATATCTCCAGCGGAGTTATGTCGTTTTGAAACGTCATATCTCCAGCGGAGTTATGTCGTTTTGAAACGTCATATCTCCAGCGGAGTTATGTCGTTTTGGAACGTCGTTTTTCCAAGCGGAGTTATGCCGTTTTGGAACGTCGTTTTTCCAAGCGGAGTTATGCCGTTTTGGAACGTCGACCTTCTGGGCAGTTCTGTTCGCCTGGTTTTTTGGCAGATTTCAAGAAAAATCTCGGCAGCCAGGTTGCTAATAGTCGCCCCTCACGGGTATTTCTAACCGTTGATTTTTGAATTTTTAAATAAAAAAAACAGGAAATAATTTGAAATAATTAGTTTATTCATGTTTAAATTTATAAAATTGTTTTTTAATGTTATTTTCTTAAATATTTCTCTTAAAAATTATACAAATCGAGCATAAATTATTATTTTATTTTATTAAAACTTAAAATAACTCTGTCTGGCTTTATTAAAGACCGATCCTGGAAAAATCTGCTTTGTCACTCGTGAAGGTCCTTAGAGCTCATTGTAGTCCTTTATTTGTCAGTCTGTAAAGATAAAAACACATTTAAATTAAACATAAAAACAAGTAAGAGGCTCTAGTCGAGAGCTCCCGACTAGGGGATACCCTGAACCCTCTTCGCGGAGTTATGTCGTTTTGGAACGTCATATCTCCGCGCGGAGCTATTACCCGAGAGCTATTACCCGGGGTAGGTTCGAATATCAAAACTTTTTGAATATTTTTTTGAAAATCTCGGGTAAATATAATCTGATTTTAAAATATTATACCTTTTTGAATTCGTACGGATCCCTACTATCATATGGCATTCAAGGATATTAAAAATTGATGGGTTGGAAAAAGTTGTTGACCAAAAAACGTTTCGTTGGCATAATCAACCTTTTTTGTTGATTTTTTTAGACTATCTCGGCCAAGTAATCTCAGAGTCGAAGCATTCGCCAACCCATACAAGAGACCTCGCTGAGAGGTGTGTAGTCAGAAGGCTCAAGAAAAGATCCTTTAGAGACCTCCTCCAACCACGACACAGGAGAAGCCCCAGAGCCCACCGACTACCTACGTGACGGTGCAGCCTTACTCAAAGAAGACGGCTTTGACGTTTGTCCACGATAAAGCCTGAGGAGCCAACCAAATGGCAAAGTTAGTCTGGCTTTATTAAAGACCGATCCTGGAAAAATCTGCTTTGTCACTCGTGAAGGTCCTTAGAGCTCATTGTAGTCCTTTATTTGTCAGTCTGTAAAGATAAAAACACATTTAAATTAAACATAAAAACAAGTAAGAGGCTCTAGTCGAGAGCTCCCGACTAGGGGATACCCTGAACCCTCTTCGCGGAGTTATGTCGTTTTGAAACGTCATATCTCCAGCGGAGTTATGTCGTTTTGAAACGTCATATCTCCAGCGGAGTTATGTCGTTTTGAAACGTCATATCTCCAGCGGAGTTATGTCGTTTTGAAACGTCATATCTCCAGCGGAGTTATGTCGTTTTGAAACGTCATATCTCCAGCGGAGTTATGTTATGCGGATTTTGCGTGAAATTGAAGCTCTTAAGAATCGCTTGCCCCTATACGAAGAATGGATCCCACACGAGTCCATCGAAAGCAATTCATATTGCCGCTATCCAGAGTCGTAAGCGATGCGTTTTTAAATTTATTTTGTTTGACTTCCGTCAGTTAAAATTCTCTGTGAGCTACATGCTCAATGTAGATAAATAAATCACAGGATGATAGAAATGAAAATGTATTTTGCCCTCTAAGTCGAGCGAGTGGCAGTTAATATTGATGGTTAATATTGATACACATAAATAATTTATTAAGAAAAAGTTTTTTTTCGCAAAAAAGACAAATATTAATGTTAAAGTAGATGCGATATTGACGGTCGTTTCTTATACCAAAATATTTTAAACATTTTTCTTATAATAATAACAATTTAAAAAGCTTTATGCATCGATCGAAAGACAGTTACAATTTGCCTTCAGTATTTTTTAACGACAACGTCAAACAAATATTGCGGAATCAGCTAAAAAATACCATAAAATCGCAATGCAACCATGCGGTCAATTTATGCTCTGTGCCAATATACATACATATCTTACATCGAATTCATAGTTTTAAATTAAAAGTATTCATTTTCATAAATCATTCGGTACACGCTGAGATAACTCACAATTGATTAACTTTTATAGTAAATGTTGAGTTGTTAAAGTTTTTCTGGCAATTGTACGGAAACTAGCCAAGAATTAATGAGAAGCATTAGGTCCTTCAACCTACAACACGCTTTAAGTCGCTTATTAACCGAGATTATTATACATATCTTAATTATACAAGATCTG